CCTTCTTATCAACAACATCGTTTGTAGACTTGTCCAGGTGCTCTCGCAGCACATGCTGGGCTGCGACAGGTGTTTGGACGAGACGAATTCCAACTTCCGACACACGCAGACCTCCGAGCATGTATCAATGTGGAAGATGCCGGGCTCGTACACAGCATCCTCTGTACAGACCTTTCAATGAGGCCCAAGGTCCTGTGAAAGGGCTGGGCAAGGCGTTCTCAGAAACCGGTTTCATGCCTGAGCCCCCTACAAGAGGTAGCCGTGCCAGTGCACGGAGAAGTAGTCTTCGGGGCAGGTGGCCACGGGTTGGTCCGGCCAGATGATGTCCAGCTGGGGATCCACCTCAGTCACAGCTTCAAGGAGCAGGCGCGAAGGAGCCGCGAAGCAGCGAGTCCGCGAGTCCCGCACCCGCGTGTACTCGAACAAGGCCAGGCCCTGGTGTGGACGGTCCGTCAGAAGCGACACCAGGCTCTGAAAACCTCCGCTCCGGCGCAGATTCCAAGAGGGAGAAGTTCACACGTGACACTCGTGGCTGCGTGGCTGTTCGGCCGGCTTCGGCCCCGGGCCCGGGGTCCGGTAGTAGCGCCCGATGAGGCCGCCCCGAGCCCAGAGCCTCGGGCAACGAGCGCGGAATGCCACTGCCACTGCCATTCACAAATCCACTCTGCCATACTCTGCCACTGCGAAGGCCCCCTTGGAGCCATGGCTGTGTCACCACGGAGTAAGCGCCCACTTTGTCGATCTGGACAGAGATTCTCGCGACATCCTGGTTTCGAGCACCGCCGTCCTGCCTCCAAGGGAAAGTCGTAGTTGTCATCCACCAAGCTGTAAGTCCCATCCACAGTGATCACCTGGGAAAAGATGCCCAGCCCTTACGGGACGAGAAGCGACGCCGAGCTTTGACAGGTGCCCAGCAGGCGCGGAGGAGTCGTCCATGTTCACGAACTCCGCCTGCCGGAGCGGCGCGGCTCTGACGGTTCTCCTGGGCCTGCTCCGGGCATGCCCGCGCCTGAATGAACAAGTTGTTGTCCACGACCTTGTTGCCGAAGGTGTCGCGAGGCACGCACTGAAACCTTCCCAGGGCCCGGGTGACACAAGCCGCGACGTGACGGTTTGCCAAGGGAGGCCCTGGCGGATGCTGAATCCCTGCGATGATTTCAGCAGGGAGGGCACAGTCCGTGCCGTCGAATCTCGCGATGGAGCTGAGGACCTCAACAAAAACCAGGGAATAACTAGGAGCCAGGAAACAAGGCACTAGGCAGGAGTGAGGCACGTGCGGGGATCTCCGGAGTCGGCGTGTTGGAGATCTGCACTCCAGCCCTGCCACGGTGTCATGGGGTGGGCAGCGCCAGCTCTTGCCGGAAAGCAATAAGCTTCCGACAGCGTGATCTGCAGAGGATGCTCACCGGCCTCAGACAGAGCACGGATGTTGTGCAGAAGGGATCTACCCGACTCCGACAGCACCAGAAACACTGAGGCAGCCGCCAGATGCGTGCCCACTTTCACTGTCACTGTCCTTGGATCATTTCACGCTTGAGACGATGACAGGATGTCTTCTGGTGATTCTGGTGCCATGTCATTTTTTTGGACTAGCGGCCCGTCATTGTTGTCGGTGAAAGCTAGGATGCTTGGCCCAAACCGCCCCTGCCAAGGAAGCCAGTACAGCAAAACCCACAGTGCTTAGGGCACACAGTCCAGCTGTGTGCCTGAAAGAGGAGCGTCGCTGAGCTGCTTGTGCGGTTGTTTCCAAAGCGGTCCCTGAGCTGCACCAGAGCGTCCACGGTCGCTCCAGCCAGGTAGCCTGCCGGAACTTGCCTAATTACCTCCCCTTGTGGTGAGAGGCTCCAAGTCCAAGTCTCCGGCTGGATTGAACGTTGTAGACGGCCGTATTCGCCGGCGAGACCTACCGGTCTCGCAAGTCTTTGTCTGGCGTCGAGCTTTGCACCGAGCTCCGCGCTGCTGCTGGCTCGACGAACAAAGCGAAAGGGCCCTGGGTGACCGTGAGCTGCCTCAGTGCACTGCACGGGGCTTGAGAAGCTCGAACCCCAAGAGAGCGCGTTCGCGCGTGCCGAGTCTCCGGCGACAGCGGCTGCACCATCTCGAGTTTGGAGATCTCCACGCCGTCGACTTGAACGGACCTTCCCGAGAGCTTGCTATCTCGGCTCCCCTCTTTGGGCTTTTCTGGGCTTCGCGCAGAAGCCGCTCCCCGCTGACGGTGGGAGTAATCCGACACTCGTAGAGCCCGGTGCTGCCGCCGGTGCTCGGCGAACAGACCTCGAGGACGCGTGCGCCGCCGTGTGCGCCGCGTGCGCGGCGTGCGCCACGGACGGCTTTGAGGCCGGTCCGGGGCTCCCGACTCCCTCGTCCACCTCGAGTCACGCCAGGCTCGGAGAAGAGGGAGAGAGCAACGCGCGAAGCGGCGCGGCCCATGCCTGGCTCACCGGCGGCGCCGAGCTGACGCGCACGACGATGGCCCCGGCCGGGCTGGAGGCCCTGAAGAAGGCAGCGAAGGAGCACAGATTGAGCGGAGCGGAGGAGCTGATTTTTTTTGGCGGTATGACACTCCAAGGAGGAGCTGGAGGAGTTGCATTGTAAGTGGGGGAACATATGGCACTCCAAAGACAATGCTTACTGGGAAGTTGGCAAGAGGTTGCCGTAAGCGTCCCGGAGCTGCACATGGAACACGATCTCATCGCCCGCCACGCCCTTGCACATTGCACATGGTCAGGTTTGAGCGATCTGCCGAAAGCCCTTCTAGCTTGCAAGCCTGTACGAGTAGCAGGCCGCAAAGCCATGTTGGTGTCTGAGGAGCTCACCGACGCCGGCGGCTGCCCGCTCTCGGCCAGGCTCTTGGGTCCTCGCGCCACAACCCCGAATCCCAGCTGCGATGTTAAGAAAGCCTGTCGCCCTCTCTGCTGTACCCTGTCCGTAGGGGGCCGCTGCAGGGTAGCCCCTCAAGGTGAAGGGCGACAGGTAGACGTTGCCACCGTTGATCTGCCATGCTGGGGACTGTGTGAGGGCCCCACAATACGGAAGCAAGACTTCAAAGCTCTTCGAAAGCAAGCCTTGACAAAGAGCTTGTGAGTTCCTTCTCGGAGCGCCGTGTACTTGATGTCATACCTGTGGCATCGAATCTGCTGGGAGGGGAAACTGGTGCTCCGGCCGGAAGCTGCGAAGCTGCAGGGTCCCGAGTCCATGGCTGGCCAAATCCGATGTAGCTGGCTCTCCCGTAGAAGTACCTGGCAGACACCGAAGTCCGCACCCATCACCCGCCCGCGCACGGAGCCTCCCGAATTCGGCGTTGTTCAGCGGCGTGTCGTCCAGGACGGTCATGGTCTGAAACGGCGCTGACGGTTAAAACCGCAAGCATCCGTAAGCAGATGTGACCATAAGCCGTAAGCAGAAGCACTGTCAAAAGCCGTAGGACAGGTCTTTTGAAGCCAGGCTGCCGTGAGGGAGTCGTAGTTCTCCCACTCGATGGAGGCGGTGACCTCGCCGACCTCAAAGCCACGCGAACGCTCCAGCGCGCGGCGCACTCCTTACTGCTTCGGCTCTCGCCTCCTCGTCCAGGGCGTTGCCGTAGGCGTCCTTGGCCTGGACGACGAACTCGGACTCCGTGCCCGCGGTGAACTCGATGCTGCCCTGGTGGCGCGGGGCGGGCAGGCATGGGCAGTGGGCAGGCTCCGCAGTGGCTCGCTGTCTGGGCGCCGCGCCAGCCCCTGGACCGTGGACCACTCGGAGGCCACCCTGCCAGGTCCTTTCAGGAAGCACCGTCGAAGCCGTCCCCAAACGATTGGGAAACTGAGGAGGCAGCGTGCAACGAACTGGAACGGGCTGTCCTCGCATCGCTACCATCACACCCTGCATGCCACATTTTCCTACGCGTTCTCAGCACGAGTCCTTGATGGGCATGCCGTTCAGAGCCACAGACAACCGGTAGGTGCCAGCCCTGTTCACCAGGTACCTGGGAAGCAGCGAACCACGCTTTTCAGCCAGTAGGTCCGAGAATGTCAGGTTATCCATTCTAATTCTCCTGCAAGCTCTACATGCAGTCCGCCGAGTAGAAGACTCTACTTTGTAGAGGCCATCCATGGCATCCGGGTTTACCTCGAAGGTGTCGCTTGCTACACCCACACAGTGACCACCAGGCACAAAATCGCGTACCAGCTCGGGGGCTGGCTGGTGCTGAAACCACCGTGAAGGTCACGGGCCCGTTGAAAGTGACCTCACGGAACGACGGAAATGCTCAGCACAGGTTGCGGTTGCAGAGCAGTTCGCCACGTCAGGGCCTGGAAAACCTCCTGGTTGCTCTTCAGCAAGTTGTCAGCCTCGCTCGGATTGCGAGATGCAAAGGAAGCGGGACAGTCGGATTTCATGCTGTGCAAGCAGTATCCCCTCAGTCTCGAAGATGCCTACAGAGTTCCTGCCACACGACTCTTGCCGAGGCACCGTGTCCTTTGCCTGGATGTAGAAGGCTCGGGACCTCGAAACCGAGACCGAGAGCATGCGGGCATGAGATGCGGAGCAGACCCCGTGACCTCTTTCTTGGAGCCTCCCCGCTGGGCCTCCGGCTCCAGGCAGCGGGCTCCTGAAAACCCAAGCCCTCCCGATGACAGCATCCGGGATTCCAACAACTGCATCTCAAATGCTAAGTCACAATTCCCAAACCTCTTATGTTGGCCACACTGAAAAACACGGGACCTGAAAGAAGCCCAAGGCTCCGGCACTAACGAAAGAGAGAGACGGAGAGATAGATAGAGATCGAGATATAAAGAGAGATAGAGAGAGAGAGACAGAGAGAGAGAGAGAGACAGACATTGTTCGATAGATGACACAGAGCTTCGCACCTGTCAAGTACTCGCCAAACGCCTCGGAGTTGGCGGCGCTCACCGTGCCGGTAGCGACCTCTTGGAGCCGACGGGAGTCTGGGGTGCTGAGCTTTGCCCCGGTTTGGGAAGGGGTCTCATCAGGCTTCAGCTTTTGAAGGCTCGGCGCCCTACTTCCGTCGTAAGGCTTGACTGTTTTGGGATGCGAACCGCCTGCCTCCAGCAAGACGGGTGCGCCGTTGATGACGGGGCCCTTGAAGAGCTGACCGGGGCTTATGAAACCTGGCACGGCTCGGACCGCTTGAAGGCAACACGACCGGACTACCGTGCCCCGTCTCCTTCCAGAAAAAGACGACGTGGCCTCGGGGCGTCGAGAACGAGGCCCACTCCAGGCTAAGCGTGGCGTTGCCGGCCACCTCACGCACTTTACGATCAGACGTAAGAGCTGCACGGCACAGCCGTGGTCCCCGCGCGCCTCGCGGAACTCAAGGCGGATCGATGCCAGCTCCCCGGCCGTGAGGGCGATGTGGCCCCAGAACTCCTGACGGATGGAGCAGAGTGGGGAAAGAGGAAAAGAGAGACAGAGAGAAGAAACCAAAAAGAAAAAGAGAGCGAGAGCGAGGGAGAGAGAGCGAGAGCAAGAGCGAGAGCAAGAGCAAGAGCAAGAGCGCGAGCGGAGCGAGAGGGGAGCGAGAGAGAGAGAGAGAGAGAGAGAGAAGGAAGAGTCGCGACCATACTGCATGGCAGCTGCGATGTTACGGGCAGGCAGGTGGCTCAAGGGTGCACTGGCCTGGCAGCACTCGTCCCATTTGTCGAAGAGGAGGACGCCGTTCACCCAGAGCCTGGCCACCGGGCCCAAGGCAACGCGGAGGGCCCAGCTCTCACCTTCGATTCCCACGGGGCCTCGCGGAGTCGTCGGCGTTCACGTAGAAAGTGTACTCCTCGGAATGCTCCGGGAGCAGGAAGCCTCAGATCAGCGCGCTCTCCGGCACAGCACGGCATGGCGGCGTCACGGCCGTGGGCCCGGCCGGTCCAGCGCACGGAGACGTAGTCCGAGGCGTACAGGGCCACGGCGCCGAGGCCCCAGTCGAAGCCTTGGGAGAGAAAAGACAAATTGGGCCAAGGCCAAATACCAGGAGATGGCCAGCGGTGCTTTATCTCGGGGCTCTGTCGCGTCTCTCGCGCTCCGAATTCGCACGCGCAGCTCTGGGAGCCGTGTTCTATAAGGAAATCTCAATACTCAACGTAGCTTCTCTGGCTGGCGGTCGCATCACGTCTCCCAGAGGCTGAAATGTACAAAGCGTGTCTGCGCAGGGGAGTGAAGCCGGGGCGAAAGGAGTCGGTGCCCGGCGCCCGGCGCCGCCGACTTCAGAGACTCGGCTCCAGTGCTTGGGACTGGGGCGGCCCATAAGCGGCCTAGACGCCTGCGCAAGAAGCGCATGAGTAATCCCTTTCCCCTCTACCTCTCCCTCTCCTCACTCGGAAACTCCTGCTCCCCTCCCTCTCCCTATATTCATCCCACTATTCCGAAGTGATTCCTCTCCACCTTTCTTTACAGGCCCCTAAACCCTTCTCCTTTCGGGCGCCTCGTGGGGTGCCGTGGACGTCGCCCCAACGCTCGAGCTCGGCCTGCCGGTCGGTGCCGGCGCACGCCGCACTCCCACTTTGGGGAGGGCCGAGGGCCTCTTTAGGCCTCTTTAGCTTCCCTACAACGAATTCAGGAGAGGCATCTTTTCTACAAAACCTTCCTCGAGACATCCTCCGAGTCCTAAGATGTCCTACGAGCCTCGTTTAGCGGTCCTTCGTACATCAGCGTACATCTTGTACCCTCCTCCCAAACTTGCTTAGGGCTTAGGGGAGCTTCTCCCCACAAGCAAAGGCGCGCCTGCATCTTCTCGCAGCGCTCCAGCAGCCGCTCCTGCAGTTCGCGGCAAAAGGAGCGGAGGGAAACGTTGGGAGTTCTGTGTTCTTGTGCTCTTGCTCGTCTTCTTCTTCCATAGGGCATTGGGAGCGTCCTGAGCCCCCCGGCCGCTATAGGCCCTCTCCCCCCGGCGATCTCAGGGGCGTCTCCAAGGACTGTGAAAAGCTTCCTCACCGGCTTCATCCCGCAATAGCTCAGGGGTTTGACCCCCTAATTACACAACAGCTCTCTCTTTTGCAGGGTTTAGGGCGCGTGTCAGGCGCCCCACCCCCAAGGCCCCGTCAGGTCGGGGGGACCTCCCAAATGGGCCGGGGTCAGGTGAGGACTTTTTGCGTGAGGAACCTCGCAAGCCTAAAACTCACGGCGTGAGGCCTCGAGCCGCCCCCGCTCCGGGAATCCCGGAGGCGCAGGCAAACGACTTGACTCTCTCTCGCTCTCTGAAATCGATCTGAGGCGCGAAATCCAGGATCGGAGATGCATCGTCTTCTTGGTCGATGAAGGTGCATCCAAGGCTGCCTCAAGGGTGTCAGCGTCACGAAGAAAGTAGTTGGAGGTGAGCCCCGGGCTCTTGAAGTCGATGGTCTGCGCAAAGGGAGATGCTGCCTGGTCGACCTCGGGAAGCACCGCGGCGAGCGATTTGCCAAACGGCCACAGGGGGGCTGAGGCTTTCGCAGGAACCTGCTTACCGTGGCTCTGCATCACGTCAACGATGCCCTGGAAAAAAAGACGTCGACAAGCAAGCAGCACTGCAGCACCGCAGGGAGTGCTCCACTCCCGGTCCTGGTGCACCTGCTGTAGCCTGGCTTCGTTCTCCACCCTCATGGCCTGAAGGAGGCCGCTTTCTTTGCTGAACTTTCGGCACCTCCCCAAATGAAAAGTCTATGCCTGGTACCTGCCTTCCGGCCTCGAAGCCGTCGGAGCTGAAGAACATCTGGGAGTCGGCTGTTTCCGACATCTCCCATCGCCTACTCAAAGTAGGTGAATGGCTCCCACTCTCAAGAGAGGCGCAAATCCCTGCCTTTCCGCCTTCTTCCTCTTGAGATCCGTCTCCCTGCCATGCCATGGGGGTACATCGGCCAGGAAGCCGCGCGCTCTCTGATGACTCGGCCCCTTCCGGCGCAGGCTGCGCCTCCTGGCTTCGGCCTCCTCCTGGGCGACGAGGTCCATGTATTTCTGTGCCTCGGCAAAACACAGAGCCGCCCTGGGCCGCCCTGGGCCGCCCTGGATGGCCCGGGCCTCCTCGCAGAACTCCTGCGCCTTTTGGAAGCTGCGGCGCATGGCTTCCTCCGTCTCCCGCTTGGGCGACGCGTCCCCGCCTTCCCGCGCCTCAAGCGTCCGCCGAGTGCACTTCTTCCAAAACGACCCTTCCCCTCTTTCTTCTTCATGTGGCTCCCCTCCCAAGTCTTCCGCTTCTCTCGGCACCTCCTTGCCAAGCAAGTCGTCGAGGAGCTGCGTGACGCCCAAGGAGAACTCCCTCAAAGATTGCCAGCGAAACCGCCAGCAAGCAGCATAAGAAGCTCAATGTGTTGCTGACACGCATGCTGCAGCCAAGGAGCTCTTTTGACATCGGGCGTCACAGCCGAGCGGCTCTGAGCTAGACGGTGATGCTTTAGACAAGGGCACCTCGTCTATGACTTCACGACTTCATAGAAGCAGGAAGATTTCTACGGCATGCATCGGACTGACATGCCAAAGACCTGATGCAGAAGCTTCAAGCCAGATCGATGCGGCGACGCAGGGTTGAGTGCCATGTCACAGGGTCACCATCAGAGCCTTCTCTGCTCCTTTCTGGGCTCTCGGCGAATCTCCGGATCCTCAAAGCTTGCGAGGGGCATACGGAGCCTTCTTAGCACGGTGGCTGAGGTTGTGGATCCGGTCCTGGCGCGTGACCACCGGCATGCCGTAGAGCCACTGGTTGTCCCAATACCTTGCGAGGCTGGAGTGAGCTAACAGCTAGAGTGCTGGCTCTGCTGGCTGCGCAGCTGTCAAAGGGGTCCGGGCTGTCCCAGCAAGCCGCCCGGCTCGATGGCTTGCACCAGCAAGGAGTACTTCCCGGCCTCCAATGTACTAAAAACGTAACGGGTGGCTCCAAGAAAAGGCTGCAATTTGCGCCTTACGGAGCGTGTAAGGGAAACGGTAGAGCCCTGTGCTCTGGTCCAGGGAGTGGATGCAGCAGATGGGCCTCACATAGTCGGGCGGGCGTGGCCCGCGCACGTCTGTGCACGCTTGGGCTCTTGACCTCTTGGGCTCTTAGGCTCCCGGCTCCCCGAGCACATCCGGTGCGTAGTCGGGGTGCGGTGCCGCCACTCGCACACAAATCTGCGGGCGCGCCGAGAGAGGTGCAGGAGCGTCAGCTCAGGCTTCAGATCACAGGGGCCCAACCGTTCCAGTGGAGTCCAACTCGCAGACATCGTGCACCGACAAGATGAAGCGACGGCCGCCGACCTGACATGCGACAAGTTCACAAGCTGTCCAGGAGTCCCACGTATGTCCACGTCACGTGACCGTCCCTGTAGGTGCTCGGCTGACTCGTCAAGCTGCGTCACTGGGTCTACCGACCGAATTCTCGCTGTGTACCTGACGAGTGGGTTTTTCATCTGCCAAGGAAAATGCCTCCCAGCTCTGAGTCTCGGGATGCGGCTCGACGTCTGCACCTGACAAGAGAGTGAGCCTGTGAGCCTGAGAGCCTTTACGCGGCAGTGCCACCAAGGCCGGCGCTGAGCGACACCGGGATGCTCTCTGGCCTCGCCTCGTGCGCCGCCATCAGGTCCGAGATCCTCAAAAGCACGGAAGCTCGGCATCTCCGACACAATTCTCTCCCACGGCCTTACGGAGGCTTCGGTGTAGCTGCTGAAGCCTCGTCGTGCCAGCAACGTTCCCTCTGCACCTTCTCAGACCGCTCCGGACGGCTGGGGCCACAGGCCGACCCGGTTCTCCGCGAAGACCCGGAAGTTGTACCTGCCCACATCCCAAAACCGAAAAAAGACCCTTTGAAGAGGGAGGAGAAGCCGAAGCCGGGCCGGGCCCCGGACGTCAAGGAGGCATGCAGCCCCAGAGCGGTGAAGGTCAGCTTGGAGGGCTGGTTGGTGCCTCAAGCCCCAAAAACCTAACTTGCACGGCTGCCGTCACCCGCTTCAAAAGCTTCGGACCATCGTAGATCCTCTCCCAGCTACCATCTCCGTTGGCCTGTCTGGAGCTCTCGGCACAGACACTTCGGAAAAGGCTACAGCACGTGCAGGCTGCAGGGCCTCCATATCGACATGATAGCCCAGAATCGGCGAGCCGCCGCTCAAGGGCACGGGCCAACCCAGCCGGATGTTCTCTGCACCGACCTGCATGCGGCTGCACGTTGTGGCGCATGTCCAAGGCGTGTCGGCTGACGTCACCTTCTCCAGTGTTGGAGTCAGCCCTTGCCATTCCGGAACACCGGCGCTGATCTGAGCACGTTGGGCAGCCGAACAAAGCAGATATTTCAGGGCAGACCGGAGAACCTTTTCCCACCTTGCCAAGCAGACGCAATCGCCCGCTCGCAGTAACAGGCTAAAGTTGTATAGGGGTACAGCGCCAGGACAACCGAACTGCCAGAAAAATCCTCCTTTAGAGGGAACACCCACGGCATGGTTGGTCTCTGGCACATCCCATTCGGGAATAACAGCAGTGAGCAAAACATGAAAATCCTAACTAAACGGAGGTGCCCTGCTTCGCAAGCAGTGTCTCGGAACACTAGATCATGCGATCTCACAGATGCAGAAAGTGCTCTTCTTGTAGGGTGCCAGCTCCTGTCGCAGCTGCTCCTCAGAGATTTGTTCTGGAGCTTCTTTCAAAGCATCCAGCCGCCAAACGGCCCCATGCCACCGCCGGTATGCTAGCCACTGACGTGCTTCAGGCCGATATTGGACGAAGCCCGTTGCTCTTTTCTCAGTGGGTTCTTGCACCTCGCCCAGACTCATCTGCCACTTGGTGCGCTTCAGCTGCAAAACCGCCGCCATTGCATGTTGGTCCACCTCGCCACAATGTCTGGAAACGATGGCCATGTCCTCTTGGGTGACGAGTTCCCAGCCAATGGCATTGTTCAACGCGGACACTTGGGACTGAAGCAGGTGCAGCTTTTGGAAGAAGGGCACCTGCACTCTGCACCCCCTACCACAAGCTCTCCACAAAAGAGTTCGACACTATTTGCCTGCCGAGCTGCGGCGCAGCCTGGTGGTGGATCAGCTGGCGGTGGTAGGGGAGCCTCCTTGGTTAAGGGGGGGGGGGGGGGGGCAGCTTAAACCGGGTCT